GCTGATGATGACTTTTGACGAACTTATATTTTGACGGACTTTTGGAAAACTTTATGTTTCAGTAACAGTATGATTTTATTAAAAATTAAAATAACGGTTTTTCCAAATTAAATCACGATTTTAAGGTAGCACCCCGAATCAGTTTTCGCAAAGTAAAAGGTTTTATTTTTAAATAACTTTGCGAAATTTTCGCACTCTGATTTTACGATAACGCGGGGTGTTACAAGTTTGCTACTTGGTAATTCTATAAGAACCCAGATCTGATAAGAGTCCATGACCCTAAATCAGAATTCATTAAAACTTTGCTAAGTTTCTGCATCCTTTTCTCGGATCTCCTCATTGTATAACTAGGGATCTATTCAAGTTTACTAGAGACTAAGTCCGAGACTTTCTCAAAACATGAATTCCATGAACTTGTGATTAATACAGACCGAGTCCAACGACTCTCTTATTATTACGAATGGAGTTGCCTTGCAACCCTCCCACTATAACAAGGTTCCCTCTGCAAAGGTGTATAGCACAAAATACGTGTTGCAGTTTTCCTTGTGGTATCACATTTGTACACTTGGTAACAGAGTTGAACTTTTACCTTTATCTTTCCTTCAAACAATTCTACAAATGAACTTAGTGATTTATTACTTAGTATTCCTCTAAAACTCAGACATTTGCGCTAACAAACATATTATGACTTTTAGTACTATAATAATCCACTCATTTCTCGTTACTATGAAGTATCCTACAAATAGCCTAATTTTCGAACATCTTTTCCAATCTTATTAGAATCCAAATATGTTCCTGACAAGGCCTAAGTCTTGACAACAATTCATTCAGAGTAATGACTACTAAACTTAGATAGGATTATGTTCAGAACTTATCCTGCTATTTGCACAACTCCAATACAAAAAAGCGAAATTCCTAATAACTCATCATTGACATAACCAATCTTCTTCAGAGATATTTTCCTTCGGTCTGTTGCACCGTCTTGTTCCGATGAACCAGGTGAAACACGTTGACATCGAATCTCAACATCCAATAAGTATTTCTATGATTTTCCAAAAGGTATTAGTCACTACGATCTTAATCGTAATGCCACTGATACATTAATCTCGATATCTTTCCATAACCGCCATTGTACTCCCTCGAAGTAATCAAGCTTATGGTACGTCACTTAATGTACCCTGTCTTGAACAAAATTCTTAGAAAAAATATTCAAAACTACCTTTTGTTCTAAAAACATAGAACTTCACAAATTGGGTGAACCAACCTTAGCATTTATTTGCCTTCTAACCCACGACCTTCAAAAGGTCATTTTTGTGATTTTAGCTACCAAGTATAATTCGTAGGTCTGATAGTTTCATCCATTCACAAAGAACCCATGAGTTCAATGGATATCCACCTTTCAATTCTACTAATGCTAAAATCTCAAACACTAGATGCCAAATTAATGTAATGATTCATTTATTGAAAGACCTTTCTACTTGTTGGTTCTAGTCGACGTGTTACTTATTTCATCTACTGCACTGCGAGACATATTCGTTCACTGAGCATATCGTCTACTCACGTACCAAATGGACAAAACATCTTGTTTTCACCCATACACAATTTAGAGATTGAACACTAGTTCTTTCTAAAACTAGGTACGAAAAAATAATTACTCAAAAAACAAATAACTCCCACTGCAATAGTTGTTACTTCCGTAGCTAGCCCATTCTAGATGGTAATCTAACCTTCACATGTCGATTGGTTCACTGAAACCTTTTTACATAGTTAGTGGTTACGTATCTATATACCATGCACTGATAGATAACACCACTTAAAATGTTTCGACTTCCCAGTGAATAAGATTTACCTTCATTGTATTAAGGATAGGATAGTTCATCTTTCTATGTCCGTTTTGCTACTTTCCATTCGACTTGTAATTGGCAAAATAAGACACTATCCATGTTCTATTTCTAATCAGGTTTGAACAAGTAAATTATCTTTGAGTATTACAGACAACAGATTGAAAAGACATTTTGAATTCCTGGGATCATGCAAACATAGTCTTTACTCAGTCAAGTGTTTTCGAATCATCAAATATTGATCCCTTCAAAACAACATTTGAATAAATTCACTGGCACCTCAAAACACCGAATCTCCGCAGGCCACGGAGTGTGGACGTCTACGGTTCAAACCATCGCAATAGGAGGGATAAATCCCATTAGTTAACATACTGTCAAACAATACTTAACTAATAGTCGGTCAAACTTTTGGCCAGCGCAATTAACTTATGAAACAATAAAAACGATCCTTTCCTTTGTGAATATCATAATTATTTGCACCTTAAGCTTAACCCATTAATGGCAAAATTGCATTTTTGGTCCTGTTGCTTTGGCCTCGTGGCAATTTTCGTCCTGAGATCGGAGCATTTTCTTATTTAGTCCTGTAATTTCAAAAGTCAACGCAATTTTAGTCCTTCCGGCGCCCAAAAGTCAAAATTATTGTCGGATTTGTGATGTGGCCCGCACGTGACACCCTCATGTCCGATTTTCTCTGACTTGACATGCAAAAACACGGACGTGGCAACAAAATCAATTAAAAAATGCAAAAAAAAAACATAAAACAAAAAATGAAAAATGTTTACTTATCCCCAATTTATCGATCCCAGAACCCTAACTTCCCAAATCCAAACCAAGAAACCTAATCCCCCAATTTGTGAAATTCGCACATAAATTTATCGAGGCTGGAGATGGGGCCCACGAGGTGGCAGTAGGAGACACCGACCAAGATAACGGGGATGAAGAGGCCGGACGAGATGGCGATGCCGTAGGTGATGATGCCGAGGGAGAAGACTGCGATGAAGAAGGTGAAGAGGGTCGATATTTGGAACTCATTTCGGTTATTGGAGCTGAGGAGGTTGAGGATGGCGTCGTCGGTGGTGTCGAGGAGCAGGAAGGCGAGGTCGTTGTTGTGGGAAAAATTGATGTGTTTTCAGATTTTTTTTTTTTTTTTTTTTTTTTTTTTTTTGTTCTGGGAACGATGTATATTTAGAAGGTGGGGAGGTGACAATTCTTTTTTCTTGTTCAGAAAAACAAATCGATGGGGAAAAAAATATTCAGAATTGGTTATAAATTCGTGATACTCCTTTTAATTTCATCTTTCTTCCTAGCTTACCATATTGATTTTATTATAGACATTTATTTAGTATTAATTATTTTAGGATTTATAAAGTATATGAAATGCATTTCTTGATTTGTGCGGGTATTATATCTTTTTTTATTTTTAAATTACAAAATTGCAAAGTGGATTTTGTAATTTTTTTGGCATTTTTTAATTGATTTTGTTGCCTCGTCTGCGTTTTTGCGTGCCAAGTCAGAGGAAATCGGACATGAGAGCGTCAAGTGCGGGCCACATCACAAATCCGGCAACAATTTTGACTTTTGGGCGCCGAAAGGACTGAAATTGCGTTGACCTTTGAAATTAGAGGACTAAATAAGAAAATGCTCTAATCTCAGGACGAAAATTGCCACGAGGCCAAAGCAACAGGACCAAAAATGCAATTTTGCCTCTATCATATAATGGGTCAAGTAAGCATTAGTCTCATAACTCAGCAAAAAAAAAAAAAAAAAGAGAAAGAAACAATTAGGCCAAACCGGCAAGCCTGTAAAAGTGACCTGCAATTCACACGACAAAATATCAGCTTTTTTAGCATTTTAGCATTTAAGATATGTTTTTCCAAATTGACTATAGTGCATGACCAAACCTCAAATGAATACCATAAAAGACGAAATTTCTAATTTTTCGTATTTATTTATTTAGCCTACTCCTTTTAAGTTAATTAATTAAGCCATTGTGAAAGTCTATTTTTATTTATTTATTTTTTTTTTTGGTACAAGAAGAGAAGTCGAAGTCTAGAAAATCCTAAACCGACACACGGCGTGGATAAGCCACGTCGACAATATCATGACGTAACCAATGACCAATCTCCCACGGAGGGTCCCAAAGACGATGATAGCCCACCGAAACCGTAGCAGCCAAAGAGGCGAGCTGATCAGCCACGAAGTTACCTTCCCGATAAGTATGTGACAACCGAACATTTCATCCCCGACGGAGCAGCTCACGTATGGCTTGAATAATGTTCTCATGCAGTCTCAATTGATCCTCAGTTCCCGAAACCATAGCAACCACACTGCTATTATCTACCTCCACAAGCACGTTCCGTTCCCCTAACTCCCAAGCGAGGCGAAGACCGTGGTAAAGCCCCCATAATTCTGCCCCCGTAATAGTACATAATCCCACATTCAGAAGGAACCCCCCAAGCCAGCGTCCATGAGAGTCCCACGCAAGCCCTCCGGCACTACCCCGACCCGAAACGTTACATAAAGCACCATCCGAATTGATTTTAATCCACGCCTCCGGTGAGGGTGACCAGCATATCATAAGTTCCTCATACCTGCGGTTCGACATGCCCACAGATCTCTCACAAGACGTGCAGCCCAAGAAACTATCTACCCATCGTCGAATATCCAGGATTTGGGTGTCAAGGGACACCACTTTATTGACAAAGATGGCTTCGTTCCTCCAGCGCCAGAGTCTCCAACAGGTCACAACAAACGTTGTCGCCCAATGCTGCAGCCCACTCGTACAATCGGGCTTCAAATTATCCCCGAACCACACCCTTAACTCCTGAACGAAAAATTCCCGTGGATCCTTAAGGACGGAGTCCGGAAGCACAGCGAACCACACCCGACGAGCCTGAGGACAGTCGCGCAATACGTGAGTTGTAGATTCCGTTTGCCCACAATAATAACAGGCCGCATCATTAGCCACGTGACGCCTCATGCGCTCCATGTTCGTGAAAGTCTATTTATTGCTTCTTCATGGAAGATTAGTCAAGTTCCATACAATAAAATTGTATTTTAGAGAGTTTTTCCTTTCGTTACGTGAGAATCTCGATCAAAAATTTCGATTCTCACTACAAAAAAACACTACAATTCCAACGATAAATTCCAATGGCAAAAATTTCCGCTGGAAATTCCAATGAATATTCCAACAAACTTAATTTTATGTTGGAATAAGTGTTGGATAGTTGAGGAATTCCAACGGATTTTTTCCGTTGGAATAGCCGTAGAAATTTATTTCCATAAGATTTTCCGTTGGATATTTGCTATTCCAACGGCCGTTTTTCCAACGAATTTTTATACGTAGGAATATTCGTTGGAATAACTATTCAAACGCAAAATATAAAATATTCCAACGGAAAATTTTCGTTGGAATATAAGAGTTTTTTTTGTAGTGTCTCTTCTTCCGGCGCTTGGATCAATCTAAGTTCGACCCGACTCAACCCAACTCGTCTTCTCTTCATCCTGTAACTTGACCGGGATGTGCTGCAAAATCAGCTCGTTAGCTACAGAACAATATTTTTTTTTTCTTTTATTAGTTAACCAATATATATTGTTTTTAGTACTATATAGTATAAGTATCATTTTTGTTCATAGAGTATGGTGGATCGATCTGCCTAACGATTAGGCTGCCTCACATGAGAATTTGTGATTTATAATTGTGCTTGTATATGTGTATTCTTAACAATTCTTGTGGGGGAAATGATGGACTAAATGTTTATATATGATAAAAAGCGATTGTATGCTCTTGATGTTATGTGTAATTCTTTTCCACATTACCATTTAGCGAATTTGACAGTTACCTGATACTTTGCAGTTCGTCTTTTCAAGCGTACGTAGATCATCTAACACCATTTTACTAACCGGGCTTAGTGGTAGTGGTAAACTGTAATTTTTTACCAGGTAAGCATCACATAGGATGGTTTATCGTAAGAATTATTGGATAGATCGAATCCTACTTTCTTTAGAGAATTCCTACTTTATATAGGCATATAGTGGTTGTCGAGGAGAGCAAAGTGAGTCTCGACTGAAAGGAGAGGAGAGGGCGCGTACTTATACAGCCTTAGAAGAAATAGTGAAATGACATCGAAGAATGGAAAAAAAAAAAAAAAAAATGAGATTTGCAATATTGAAATCTTGCTTTGGTTACGTGCAGAAGGGCAAAAATCTTGTTCACATAGTTGATCTTCCTGGGCATTCAAGGCTTCGTCCTAAACTCGGTGAGTTCTTGTCTCAAGCAGCTGCCATAGTATTTGTGGTGGATGCTGTGGAGTTTCTACCAAATCTCCGTGCTGCCTCTGAGTATGTATCCTTTTTGTAGCTTATATTAGTTAGCACACGTTTGGCTCTGCATGAAACGATGAATCGTGTTTCTTTTCGACTTTTCTGCTGTAGGTACTTATATGATATCTTGACCAAGGCAATTGTGGTGAAGAAAAAGATTCCTTTATTAATCCTCTGCAACAAGGTGGATAAAGTTACTGCACACACAAAGGAGTTCATCAGAAGGCAACTGGAGAAGGAAATGTGAGATAATTCGATACATTATTTGCCTCTCAGTAACTTCTCTTTTCTTCTCTTTTTCTTCTTTTAAGCCCCCCTTCAACATGTATTACTCTGAATGATTAATATGCGTCACGCCTGTGTTAATAGTTGGACAGTAATAAAGACAAGACAAGTTGGTTGGTTGAGAAACTTGATCAATGGGTGGAGAAAGAAGAAGACTTTAAATACTTTAGTAATAGGCAAAGTGAATGAACTAACACAAAAAGTTGTTTTTCTGTCTCATTACTCGACCGTTTAGATACTAGGGAAGAAAACACACATAAAAGATAAAAACCATTCTGAACAGATGAAGGTAGCAATTTTTTTTTGTAAATTTAACAACTTGTAGATGTCGAGCAGTTTCAAGAAATGGCAAAATTTGGAAAAACATGAATGAAATGGGAAACGGAAAGTACGTCAATCTTGATTTGTTGAACCCAAACAATGTTTTTTTTTTTTTTTTTTGCATCTGTAAAAACAGTACAATTTTATCAAGATTTTTTGTTTGTTGACTGATTTTTTTTTTTTTTGCTCAGTGAGCTCCGTACTTCGAGGACCTTACTATCTTCTGCCGACATTACGAATGAGTACACATTGGGGCAACCTGGAGAAGCCTTTGCATTTTCTCAGTGCTCTAACGATATTTCGGTTAGAGAATCATCTGGTCTGACAAGTGATATTTCTCGGTTAGAGCAGCTTAATAGGGAGCATATTAAAGCTTAGGACATATTCTTCGAATTTTTAGAAGTTGAATTTTGGAATCGCTTTTGTTTGGGTGTTCGGAATTGTAGATATGTGGTGAGTTGTTATTGCCTTGAGATTTACCATTTGGGATTTTCGTGTTACGGTGAATGACTCGAGTTGACAAGCTGTTGCTCGATTTTGGTTTTTGGGTATAAATCATTCTCTTCATCATGATCTCTCAGAAAAAGCTTCAACTGGTTCTATTTGTGTCATGTAGTTACAAACCATTTGTAATCTCTGGAATTCCAGGATTTGGACCATCTGTAATGTCTTGAATTGCATGATTTGGTAGATGTATTGAACTTATGTGTTCAATTTTTGTGTGATGTAATAAAAACATATTGTACTCTCTTGAATTGCACGATTCGGTATATCTATTGAAAAACTAAAGGTTACCGTGTTTGGACTTTGATAGAAATTGCATCGACACATTTATGGTTGGTGGCTGATTCAAGTTTTATATTCTTAGATCATTGCGCCGCGTATGAGATGGAAAAAGGAGAGTTGTGACTTGTGAACGCCTAAAAACTCCAAGGCCTTACTAAAATGTCGATGATCATTTCATCAGTATAAAATTTGTACAGCGGAATCCCTTACAAGGTCTTACTATGATCGTCACGGTTGATGATAATAAGTACAAGTGTTTTATGCAGTTAGTACAAACGAAATTCCTTGAACTCGAATTGACACGAGCACTTCCACTAATAATCCGTCATGTCGCCGTGAAGCATCTCTTCAACTTCAAGATAAGTGAACAGATCCCAAAACATGGAAAAAGCAGCAATCCAACACCCAAGTACCTGCAAATAATTGTTAAATGGAAATTTATGTTCATAACATTTTAAGACTTCTCTAATGACGCGCCACATTACATTGTATTAGATTTTACGAGCAATCTTTAAATTTTTTCTAGGCAAGAAAATAAAACGTATTATCACGTACCACAATGGAGCATACGAAGAAGACAAGTCCAGAAAAGGATAAGGCCACCTGTTCAAGCAGAGGATTTTGAAATGTTTGGAGAATTAGTTAGTGATAATGATATCATCACACAGGAAAAGTCGAGTGATACACCTTATTGATAAGAAGGCATGGATGATCCACTGGAAAATGACGTAAATGCACGTCCACAGAACAAAATATGCTACCCGGAAGAAGGGGAACCGCTGTAAGAAATTGTTAATCCCATTAATCACAAACTCAAAATCTAGTAGTAATAAAAAGAGTGTTTTAAGAGACATTATTAATGTACCAGGTGGTTTAAAATTGCATCACCGAGAAGAAAAACAGCGTTCAGAGAATGCTTACTAACAATTAGCTGCAGACAGTTGTTAAGAGTCGAGTTAAATAATCGATCGAATAAGGGTGAACTCGAGATAGACATAATAATCGTATTTTCACATTCTATGATCATTACATACGTGCATACAACGCTGTATATACCATTACACTGAGTGTTCGTATAAAATGTTGCCTTTTTTGTGCGAAAGAATGCAACTACCTTACCAATTTTGAATTAATGGAAGGACTATCAGCACAATTAGTTCGGAACCAAGGGATTTGCTCTTGAAGCTGAGAATCGTAGTTTTAATTAAAATTTAAATATTTTCCCTTTTATAGTGTTAAACCAATCACACATTTATATTCACGCCAGATTACATATTTTTATTACGATAAAAAAAAAAAAAATACAAGCTTGGGGAGAACGAAAAAGACCTGAAAAATGTTTACTTACGAAATTCAATCTTCTAGCAGTGATATACGGATAGAGTACTACCCAAAAGACAGAATCGGTGAGCACCACAGACCCAGCACATATCTACGCTAGAAGAATACGAGCAAAGGTTAAAAAAACGAAGAGAATTAATGTATACAGAAACAGATAATCAAGAGCTAAACTCAAATCCCCCATTATAATTTACTCTTTACACGACAACAAGAGCCTCTCTACCGTAAAAATTGAAGACATTCACAGTGCACAGTTTATTTGCTGTAATTTTCGTTTGATACTATCATAACATTTATCATAAAGCCATCTGATGCTAACCTGAAAAATTATTTGCAGGGCATATCCCCAGGAAGATGCAAAAGTTCTGATATTAGGTTCACCACAATGACTCGATCCTTCATTCTGGCTGGGCCCCACATCACTCTCCACGAGTGATGGTGGTACATAGGAACCATTTTGTGCCTCCGTACAAGTTTGGCAATCCATTTTCACTTTCCCTTCACGATAGTAATGTAAACATCCACGGATAGAGAGAAAAGACCCAACCTTCAAAATTGAACCCCATGAGTGTATTTAAAAGACAGGTTGAAATGGCATAAGACAAAGACATGGGTTAACATTAAAAAAAAGGGCATATAAGCTATGAAGTTCCTTATTTTTTCTTTGAGGATATACAATTTATAGGATCACGGTTAACACAATTATTTCAATAAGTACAAACGACGAGCGATATTTAAAAGCAGATCTCAGAATGAGTAACATACCCCAAAGTAAATTGTGACCAAAGTAAATGTCCACCTGCTTCACAAGAGGGAAGTGAGACAAAACACGAGCAAGAAACAAAATCACCAAATAAAATAAGATAAAATCAAGCTCTCTCCAAACAAGCAAAATCATGGGCCTTACACCGTGTAAAAGAAATACTGGATAGCACCAAGGGTGACGATATCGACGAGAAGCAATGCAAGTAACGCACAGAAAGCAATGATCCTGTAAGCAAGCAGCGAAATGGGATGCACTGATCTCGAACACGTTGACCAAACTTCATCTTCGTACAAACATCCGGAAGCCTCGTGTTGACTTTCGCCACCCGACCGCTTTCTGGATCCTTCATGTCTCCATATCAAAAGAGCTGAAAACACCATTGCTATTAGGACCCATGCTGCACAGACTAAGAACTTCCAGTTCAACCAATAACCCGGGGCTGTTGAGTCGGCCGCCATGACCGGAAAACCCAAGCCCCCCACTAAACAGCCCTGACAAAAAATGAAAAAAAATATCTCATTTGTGATATACATATTTGTTAGACAATGATAATGAGCTAAATCCACCACAAAAATCGTTTTTTTTTTTTTCATAATACCTTACAATTGGCCAAGAATAAGCAACAAAATTAAACCCAGAGCAAATTCAGTTTGCCCCACAAAAAAAAAAAATGATAATGGGGGAATGCTTAAACTGTGAGCATGTAAGTTGCATGGGGTTCATAGTAACAAAGATTCCTCACAACATTCACATGTTTCACACAAGCAAACAAACAAACACTTAGAGTGCATGCCTTTTCATATTCTTTTACGAATACATTTGTTTTCTTCTCTCAAATATAAATTCAGCCGGTCAACTTCAGAGAAAAGAAACCCATTAGACACGGAAAATTAAAAAGAAATGCTTCTGAGAATTGTACCTTGTTTTTTTCTGAATCAGTGTCTTAATATATGCCCCAACGAAAACCCTTTTTTTTTTTCTAATTTATTAATTTTCCCTTCAGTTATTAGAGCGATCAGAAATAAAAGACCGCCATGGAAGGAGATTTTTGTTGAGATCGCTGTATGCTTATTATAGGAACAAGAAATTCAAGAGAGATGACATTTTTTTTATACTACTTTAAAAGGGAACGACATGCATACATTTTAATCAGATTTCATAAATTACTAGTATGCTTGTTAAATTTTTTTTCTTAAAATTTAAAACTAATGAGAAAAAGTTGTTGCAAAATTAAATATTTTTTATAAAACAATATACTATTATTATATATTTTAGTATGATACTTGTTCATTATGCAACTTACCTGTGTTATATTATAATACTTTTCTAACTTATATCATATAACTACATTAACCATAAATATATTAATTGAGAAATAATTTTATTTTTCTAATTAATTTAATAAATAATTTTATTATTATTTTAAAGATAAATATAATTTCTTTATTTTATATATATAATATGGATGTCAAATTGAAGCTCATCAAAATATGATTAATTTGATATATTATATATGAAAAACCGATAAGAAATACAAGAGTTATCAAATTTCAAAATATATTTAAAAAGTTAGGGATATATTAATCACTTAGTGTCGCACTTTGTAAGATTGCAAAGAATTAAAGAGTTATATTAATAGAAGTGTTATGAAATTACTTAAGTTAGCTTAATAATATTTATGGAATGTCCGAACCTAAATTATGGAATGTCCAAACCTAAAATTATTAATTTAGAGTAATGTTACTTAGCCAACTTTGATGCCAACTTGGGTTACAAGTGTAAATACATTATCAAAAAATAAAAAAATAACGCATTTACACTTGAGTTGTAACCCAAGTTGTAGCCCAAGTAGGCTTTATAGCATTACTCATTAATTTATATATCAATATTAATTGTCCAAACTAAAATACGAAACATGGTTCTTCTAGGATTCCGAAGCATCAGAATCAACCACGTAGGCTCAGCGCATTCGTGAATTATATATAGGGAGGATTGTAATGAAATTATGTCATTTGTGGGTTCAGTCGTGATCAATTAATAAAAAAATAAGCGCCAATTTATTGAACCGGCGGTTTGTGGTTCAAAATTAGCCCAGCAGGTCCGATCAAGGTTGAGGCGAACCGACAGGCCTATTTTTTGTATATTTATAAAAAATGGGAGGGGGAGGAAAAAAAAAAAAAAAAACTAGACTTGCGTTTGGTTAGAGCATATACGGGTAGAGTCCGAGGTGCATTGATGGATAGCCACCGGGTTAGTGCCAGTGCCAGGCGTGAAACGCGTTGGTTATCTTGGGCCTCTACGCCGGAGGGAGTGTTGAAGGTGAACACAAATGGTAGTTTTAACCCGTCAACGGGGATGGCCAGTGCGAGAGGGGTCATCCGGGATCACCTTGGGTGTTGGGTCAGTGGGTTCACGATGAACATAGAAATCTGCTATATTGTCGGGTCAGAATTATGGGTTTTATTCCAAGGTCTGCAGCTGGCCTGGGATATAGGGGCCTGCACAATAATAGTGGAGGTCGACAACAAGGGGATTATCGAGATGGTTCACCGCGAGGAGACCAATGGGCCGCATGGGAGTATTATTACAGGCATTAAGGAGCTGTTGGGTCGTCTATTGTGTGTGGAGATCGATCACGGTTATCGTGAAACCAACTTTGTGGCGGACTTTTTGGCAGCTGTGGCAGCTAAAGGCCCGGGTGGTCTGCACCGGCTAGAGCGTCTTCCACCGGGGGCGGGTATGTGGTTGCAGCAAGATTTGGTCGGGGTGTCCCACCCCCAACGGATTGTGCATTAGCGATAGAGTCAGCGTCGCTCACCTTTTCTGTACCAAAAAAAAAAAAAAAATACCAATTAAAACTTAACTGATATTTTAATTTATAATATGTCAATTAGTTGTCTACGTATCTTTTATCTTGGGAATCCAAGTTTTCGCAGTTCGTTTACCTTACTTACCTTGATAAAAGAAAATGACATGATGCATTGAATGATCTAGTAATCGTAGGCGATTTCGACAACTCCACAAGTATTAGTAAAATCATCACTCTTCATCATTTTCTTCAGTTAGCATGGTCGTTTGCGCTCTTCTTTCAGTCTTCTTTTAATAACTCAACAACATTTGAGCATCTAAGCTTAGTGACGTTAACCTCAACAGTTGGACGTCCAGAGTTGAGGTCGGGATAAAAAAATTTCTAAGTATATTCTCCCTCACTAAATGTTGGTTCAACCGCCGCAGTTGAGGCTGGGATAGAGAAAATCTTCTTGGCCATCAAGCATTGAACATGATAAGTGGTCTTTATTTTTTACCATCAATCAAGACATCGAATGTGAGTGGCGAAACTGATGGTCTGACCACCGTAAGTTTGAGATTCGCGGTCAAGAAATGATTGAGTTCATCATATCTAGTCCCCTATTTCTTGTAATCTTAACATTTTTGTAGATATTAAAGGACGAGGTCCATTCATAGATGTTTTTGCCTAAATATACCGATTGATGAGGATAATGAAAATAAGAAGAAGTAAAAGAAGAAAATTACGACGGATTTTCCCGAGTCCGATTGCTATTTCAGTAAATAAGTCGTGCAAAAAAACATTTTGCTTGCTCGACAAGCAACCACGAGTTTAGGTAGTTCACTGACAGGAATAACATCAATAGGAAGTGGGAGTGGATAGATAAAGTCATAATAAGTGTGGATTTGGTTAAACAATAAACTTTCACGCAGAGACGGAAAACAAAGTTGCAATTAAAAATGTAACGAGAATATAAAAATAATATTTTAACCATTTTTGTAATATATCAGTTACAAGGTCATGACGTCTATGAGGATCACTAACAAAAATATCTACAAATCCCCACATTACGACTGCACATTGAAATGACAAGTTAAGCAGTATGGTAGTAAACACCAGGAAATACTTCAATATCAATTTGAAATGTTCCCAAGAATTATATAAGAGTTCTACATTCTTCCCAATTCCTTGGATTAAGAGTGGCATTGCAGTCACAATGCTCAAGATTGCTGAAAAAATTCGCACTCTTTTGTTAACACTTTGTAAATTGAGTTCTACTAGGTAGAAACATTCGGTTGGAATTTTTCAGGTACAACACTAGCATTTCTATAGTTTATTGCCCATTTATTCATTTCTTGAGGACGGCGACACAATTATAAAACGACCTTCCTAATGGGGGTGATCGACTCATTCAAAGCATTATAACCCGATTGAACACAAGTATTAAGGATATAACACATACACCGAATATAAAAATTATTTCCACCACAATTAGGATGACAAATTTCTCTAAGCTCAAGCAAAAAAGTAGTATTAGCACTAGCATTATCACACAAGTCGGATTTTTTGACCAATTTTATAAGTATTCAACACACGTGAAATTAACGAGGGATATTAGAAGAAGTATTAGAGATATTACGTCCCATGTAAGTAATTAAATATTTGTACTATTATCTTTCTAATGACAAGTATTTCCCATATAGTTATTGTTTTTGCCGATGATCGAACCAAATATCATAACAATTAGAAACTCTTTGATTTAAATTTATGTTTGGCCAAAATTAACCTTTTCTTAACCACTATAATTCAAATGTAGCGGGTGAGAGTAGTACGAGGTGACGCTGTTGTGGTTATGTCTTAGTATTTATAAAATAAACTTTTATGTGTGCTTTGAGAATGTATTTACTTGATTTCCCAATTGACAGAAATAAATGTTTCACATTGTTGCACTCTTTATGATTGTTTGCCTATTAAATGTTCTACTATTATATATATATTGTAGACAATGTGGTGTATTGTAGCCATACATAAGATCACACTGTTAGTTCTTTATAAGGTATAAATTGTATTCGCAACTGAGATAGTTAAAGACAAGATTATCGATTTAGGTTGTAGTATAAGGATGTAGTTTGTCTTGGATATTTGTTTATACTAGTGCGCTACATCGCATTGAAAGGATCGCAGTTAAGACATGTTCTTATATTCTGACTGTCATGCAGAACCAAAGTCTTCGTGACTCTACTAATTTTTAACCCTAATTGTGATACTTAGATATATTGTATATTTGTTTGTTACTTTGACTTACCATGGGTGAGAACCAAGTTTGATTCAATATGCTCCATATCTTGGGTAATGACATTTTCTGCATGATATCTATTTATTAGCATTAGGGTATCATGTCCTGGTCATCTAGGTTGATGACGTCCCCTTATGGAACTCATAAAGATTATCGTATCAAACCATGCATGTGGGTTTAATCTATACGAGAAGCAGGTGTACTACTTAAGAAATAAAAGATATTAATTAATTAAAATAGTTAAAAACTTTAATAATTAATGGACACGCGATATCTTAAACACGAAGAATTATATTGAGTTTAATAGAAGCCCTGGTTCATTTCGAGATAAGCCGGAAGCGCAATAATGAATTAATATTTACATGTCATATTGT